ACGAGCGAAAACGTATCCAAAACGAAGCACAGGTGATTTTCTTTTGTGCATCCGCTTTCATGGACTATTCATTGTTTTTAGATAATGACAATTCGCTATAATAAATATAATTAGTACCTCAGTTAGTCGTTTTCGACTTTTGATGTGGTCGTCGATTGGTGACTGGTTTGAGTCAATCAAATCTCGACAAGTAAGATAACTACCACTCTTCGTGAAAGACGACCACTTGGCTTTGTCTACTGTTATCCGTCTCTACAAAGGTCGCAATTCATTCAATGATAATCGAATCGTCGTACGTTTCCTTCGTTATACCAAACGGATCGGACGAAACCTCCGGAAGCTTCTTATCAGCAGCTTGCAGACGTTATTTTGTTAGCTTTCTAACAATACTTCTCTGCTATAGTGGTTTTATGTGGAATAAGGTTATAGCGGATTATTAGATCTGCTGACCCACGAGGACTCCACTGGGAACTTCTTCTCACCTAAATTTAACCAGGAGAAGCGTTTCAGTGTTTAATTTTATTTTTTATTGTCAAAAAGAAAGTTATATAACGTCCTCTTTCTCGTGCACAATCAATTTTCGTCATACATCGCAATGCGATCAACAAACAGATTGATTTTGGTACGGAAAAAAGAGACGAGATTCTTTCCACTTTTCATTTTGGTGAAGTCGTTCCGAAACTGTGGTGTTTTTTGCGAGTTCTTCAGCGAGTTGTAAACGATTGGGTCGACGTCTTCAGATGGTCGTTATCGATGAAAGTAGGTCTTTTCCGCCTTTCATCATCTTCGGAACTTTCACCTTCGTCACGAAACGTTTCAGACCAATTTCCTACCGCAGGAATGTCTACGCCTTCTGGCCTAGTGCAGCGCTGAGTGGCCACCCACCATTTTCGCGGCTTCACCTTCATGTTTGCATTTCTATAGAAATCGTCCGATGTTGTTTTTTCTTGATTTCTATGGCAATAACCAAAATTGAATGCAAACTACTACAAAAACGAACAACATTGGCACTAAAATATCCATTTCAACTCCGCCAAACCGCACGTGTAATGGAAGCACGATGGTCTTGAACATAACATTTTCTTCTCTTTTTTTTGAGACCCTCAAAATTCACAATGATGAAATAGAAAGTACTTTCGATATTTGCTAATTGCTTATAGATTTCTTCTCTGGTAAAGGAGATATAACCCAAACGACCGACTTTCTACAAACTTCGGCATTATCAATCAATATATGTAATTCATACGAACTGCCTTTATCTTTGTTTGTTGCTCGGTGGTGCAGTGGCTAACACATGACTCGCTGGAAAGGATGATCGTGGGTTCGATTCCGACCTGAGGCCCAGTTTTTGCAAATATCTCATCATCATTGTCCTATGTTTCACATATCATTCCATGAAAAAATATTTTCTACTTTTATTTATTTTATTTTTAACGATTCGCCTTCACTCTACTGCACGGTTCTCAGCAGTTCTCGTATTCGATTCGTTTCCTCACATCCATCATCTACGAAGGTCTTCCAATTTTTTACATGTGCCTTCAGCTGCTGCTTGAGGATTTTCCTTTCATGCTGAATGTCGCTGTGTGCTGGTTGAATCGATTCTCCTTAGGGTTGCGAGATAGCCGAGCTGGAGCGTTCCCGCTTGAGTTGAAAAGAATGATTTTTTCCCTGACAAGTACGGTAGTAATTTCCCGACACCAGAGGTATAACATGAATGAATGATTCAGGTATAACATTTGTAACTGAGTAATGTTACAATTTTGACTAATTATTTACTGCCTACTCTTTTTAATGGCAGGGTATATTGCGAAATATAACCTCAATGATGCTGAGATATTTGCAAAACTCCGGACCGCAGGTGTCTGCGGTGGAGAACGAACGCGCTATTGTCCTTTCCGGGGAGTAATGCGTTCACCGCCACACCATGCAGGTCCTTCGTTTCGCCTGTCTCTCAGCTAGCTCTACCGATCTCTGCATGAGTAGTGTTATTTTTTGACGTTCAAGTAATTTCGCATGATTCACCTTCGACCGTCAAAATTCATTTTGAAAAACCCAATTTTTGGAGACAGCTTTGCAATATTTTTTCTCGACTTTTTTTCCTTTTTCTCCCATTTTCCCCCATTTTTCCTCGTCGTGATTTGCCCTGGATGTCTGCGTAACAAATCTTTTCTGGTGTTCAGCACCATTCACGAAGTGAGATCCAAGCGGTAGCGAGTAGGCACGGTGGGAAAAAAAGTGCATTGAAAATCGTTACTAAATATTTGACTCCCTGTTTACTGTCTAATATTTTTTGCGGCAGGGTATTATATGGTGCAGTGGGTAACACAAAAGGTCCAGAAAGGAGTAATTGCGGATTCAAATCTGGTCTAATATCCAAGTCTTGCAAATCAGTTCCTAAGATCGACTTTCTATTAACCTCGGCATAAGATTATAAATCTGTTGTTCTCTTCTTTCCAGCAGTCGTGAGGTTGTTATTCAGCACACGTTTACTTCCTCACTCATAGAACACATCCGTTGTGTTGTTGTATGTGTAAGGAAGTAAACGTGTGCTGAATAACAACCTCGCGATTGCTGGAAAAAAGAGAACAACGGATTTATCTCAGCATCTTTGTGGTTGTATTTTATATCACTAAGTAGCTGTAGAAACCAGCTTCTTCCTACTGATTACTTTTTGTTTTCTGCATACTACAATTTTAACGGCAGGGTATTATGCAAAATACAATCGGAACGGTGCTGAGATTGTTGCAAAACACTGGGTCGCAGGTGTATGCGTTGGGAACGAACACGCTATTACCCTTTCCGGGGGCTAACGCGTTCACCACCACACCATACGGGTCCTTCGTTTCGTCTTTCTGACAGTTAGCTCTGTCGATCAGTGTCATCAGCAATCTCCCGTCAACGGGTTTGATCTGGGTAGCACACATCGCCATTGAATATCTCAGCATCGTTGTGTGACCACTGACACGGATTATCGGCTCTGATGAAGACGAAGACGTCAAGACGTTAGCCGAAATAAACAAATTTATCAACCTCATGTAAGCTCAACAAATTAAAAACATGTTGATTATTTCACTACTAAAGTTAAACGACGTTCCGTTTGAGAGTTAACTAAATAGTTCGCATTGTACCGCTTGACGCACCCTGCTAGGATTCATTCACTTTTGCAACTGTGGCTGAACTTATCGAATTTTGCAATTTCTTTGTTTCTTTTGCTTCATACCAAACGTACTAAATATGTCGTTGAAGAACAAGAGCAGCTCTACTATGAGGAGCACTCTAAGCTTTAGTGAAGTCAACAAGCTACGAACTCAAATAGTAGATGTTTTCAACTTTTACTCCAATTTACTCAGCTTTGACATTTCGAGTATGCCGAACTCGTACGCATATCATCAGTAACGAAATTGTTTTTGTATTTGATTAATGGCTTTCGGTTGGAAGAACACTAAAGTGGTTTGTGTGAATCAGAGGGAATAATTACAGGATGAGATGGAACGTGAACTGCGCTCATTAGAGGAGCGATGGATGGAACGGACAAGAGACACAATGCAGGAACGTGACTCTCTCGTCCAGAAGCTGCAGCAGCTCGAGGAGCAGGTCGAGTCCTTGAGAACCGAGCTCAACAGGTCAGCATTTAAGCCCGTCTCTACCACGCTCGACCTTGTGGCTGCGAGACCAAGAACTCTTCAATTTCCATCATATCACATGAGGCGCCATGACTCATAGCAGATTCAAATACAATAGTCAACCAATATGCGTAAAGGTGCTTGGTTCATTCAGTGATTCATTTGCGGTAGTCAACCTATAGGCATAAAAACATTGACGAATTTCATTAAGATACCTTACCACCTTTTTGCCATCACTTGCAACATCACTTGGCATCATTTCACTTGTAATTTCGATGAGTTAATGAATACGAACTCTCAGTATACAGTGAGTTATGTGACAATGTGATACACAAGTCCTTTATCTGACAATGACACTGACCAAATAACCGAGCCCTTTTGGTTGAGTCGATGTGGGTTCGAACCTTGGATCATGTGTGCGCAAGTGATGACACACTAAATGATCTCCTGGAGTATCACAAGATAATTGGGGCTTTCAGTAATTTTTAAATGAATCCTAAATCCTTTTTCGTTCCGGTGGCTGTTGATTTGGGACTTTAAAATACTTAGCTTTCACAATCTGCAAAAATTAAAAGCGTAGTCATGGTGCTGCTGAAATGGTTAGTGATGTGAGAGTAAAAGAATAACGTAAAGTAAAAGTCTATAAAGATTTTTTGAAGAATTTGTTTACAAAGTGGCAAAGAGTTTTGTAGATGGTAGCAAATAGCGCTCGACACCGAAATTTACGTGGCAGCTGCATGAGATGTCGCCTAATTTCATGTCGGTTACGGACTTCTGGTTTATCGACAATAGACAACAATCTTTCTGTATAACTAGAGGTCTTGAGGTTGCGAACATAACAGAATCATAGAGGAGACCTTGCTCTTTCTGGCATTGTTGAGCTATGCGTGGTATATTTGCTATGGTTTACCACACATTACCGTCAGCGTTTAGAAGTGTTCTACAGCTTATATTGAGTCCATATTTGCATTAGTTATATCCAGCCGTTAAATGTAGTACTATGGTAACTGATGGTAGTGGTTGGAACTGAAATAACAGCCAATTACCGATCCAATGTTCGGCCAATAAACTCTTCTTCAAAAGTCTTTGTAAATTATTAAATGTATAAAAAAAACCTTCGTGGGCACACAGACACATCTGTGTCGATAAACTATCGATTGAACAAGAAAAAATTCTCACTAAGAAAGGTCCGCCCTGAAAGATAAATCACGGAAAAGAATATGCATCGAGCGCAATGCATTTCGTCTAATTTGCTTCCTTCCCACATATGCATGGCATGCGATGTGTTTTGTGCCCTATATCCTAAAAAGCCATTAGTCTTTCGTTTTTTACAGAGCCGTAGCATATCGTCTCGAGATCGAAGAGTCACGGAATCGTATGAAAAACCAACTCGATAGCGTACAGCGTGACTACGAAGAAACGATGGCCGAGCGAAGCACAGTGTTGGAGGAGAACACGCGCATGTGCGAAGAACGCGACCGCCTGAGACAGACCGTACATGCTTTGTCGCGGACGTTGAACGAACTCCGCTACAGATCGGTAGGCATCATAATGTAAGAATAAAGAAGAGAAGTAGTATAACTCGAGAAGAAATCGCTCCTAGTCAGATCTAGCGGCAGATCTAGATTTAGTGTGAATTTGAATTCTGCTAAAGCCATTTCATTTGGAATTGTTTTGTTCCAGCAGTATGAAGGTGAATACAAGAACATTTCGAACAAATTGGAGCACACAACGCGACTCCTGCATTGTGAGTGACATGTTTTACAAAATGTGCTCTGTTTCTCCTTAAGATTCCCCTTTCATACCGCCTTCTAGTGCTTTTATCTTAGATGACTTAAAGTTCGTCTAAAATCTATCGCTTTCTATGGTATAAGGTTTATTATTGGATTGTTGTATTTCTGACGTTTTTCTTCATTTCTTAGAAAAAACGTTATAAAGGCTTGATTCCTATCCAATATTCCATATTTCCAAGCTGGTGACTTCTTCCCAATTATATGGCTGACACTTACAGTGAATCTGGAGGAGGCAGTGTCTGCGAATGAGAAGCGGACAGAGGCATTGGAGAAGTTGCAGAAGTTGCAAGCGGAATGCGGCCGACTGGCGGAAGAACGCGATGCGGCACTGAGGGAGGCCAAGGCTGCGGACGGCGAGCGTCGGGAGGCGCTGCGCAGGCTGAAGCAGCTGGAGTGCGAGAGCGAGCCTATCACCGACCTCTGGAACACTCACACCATCGAGGTGGCCGTGGTGGGTCCGACTTTGGAAGTTTTCATTTCGAAAACGAATAACTTCTGAAAACTTTCAGTTGCCGTTAGAGGTTTTGAACTTTGAAAATCTCATCGGTGTTTGTAGGATCAACTTTTGGTATTCATTCCCTTCAATGAACTCCACTAGTGGTAGGGAACGATGAAAACGAATTCGTTTTCTGTATTAGTTAGATTTAGTAGATCAGAGGAACTTTTCCTATACTAGTTGTGGGTAGCCTTTCTGCGATTTTCAATGTTATGTACGACTTATTGGTCTTAAAGTAGTTATTCGGTAATTCAATGAATCGGAGCTACCGTTTATTCCGTAGAATGCTTGTGGTCTGTGCAGCTCTGGTGGATATGAGGCGTTCAGATTTCAGCCTTATCCAAAACCAAATCTCGGCATCGTGCTGAGTGGAGGGAGAACGGAGGACCGATACCCGATCTCTACCCCAATTTATGTCAAGGACATCATCACCGGCTCGCCACTTGAGAACAAGTTGAAGTGAGCTTTCCAAGTAATCTATTCAGGCAATTTTTGTCCACAGTTCACTTTCATATTTGTTTCATCTTATTACGCTTTGAAATGATCGAAATCGGTTCCATAAAATATAATGTGAATGACCAGCGAAGTTTTGGGTGTTCTCATTTGGACATATGGATAAATACCGAATGTTCTGTTTTGCTCTATATTGTATGTTCATATAGACGGCTCGACCATATTCTTATGGTGAACGACATCGACGTCATGGAAATGGATCAGCGCAGTGTAATCGACATCCTTAAAAACAGCCACCACCTAAAGATTCTGATCCGACGGAGAGGCAACGCCTCCAGCATACGGGATGTCACCTTCATAACGAACCGTGGTTGGTTACCTGCTCACTCGGCTGCACTTGCATTTTATTTTCTATAACAGAACACCGACTATTTGGACATCGCTGAAACTCAAGTGTTCATTGAAGTTTGTTCAGTAATCCAATAGTGCAACTCGTTCAGTTTTCAACAACATTTTTTATTTGAAAGTGGATGTAGGAAAAACTTGAAGAAAATCCTGTCTCTATGTTTTTGCTTTTGTATAAACTCAGTATTTATCTTTTGATCTACTGCCCATTATTTTTCACTGTTGGGTATTATATGAAATACAACGATAATGATGCTGAGATATTTGCAAAGCTTGGACCGCAGGCCAGATTCGAATCCGTGATTACCCTTTCCTGGGGCTCACGTGTTAGTAGTCACTATCCTACTTTTCTGTTAGTCAGATTTTTGCCCTAACGATGCTATTAAGTATTCGCTCGTCAAGGGGACCGTTAGGGTAAAAAATTGGCTGAGAGAAAATCAAAGGAAGAGTCTCGATGGTGAAGTGGATAGCACATGAGCTCCTCGGTAAAGGTAACCGCGGATTCGAATCTGGCCTGCAGTCCAAGTTTTGCAAATAACTCAGCATCATTATGGTTTCATATAAACTGTTCGAAAAAGCTCCTGTTAACTTTGATATAGGCATGTTCTACGGTGCGCTGTAGTTGCTATTAACTTCTAACCATCCTGGGTAAGCTGGAGGCACCATTGGTAGAAATAAATAATTTTCTTATCACTTGACTTTTGCTTTGGGGGTTTTTAAGGTTTCCTCTTTTATTCTTAAGACACACCATTTGTTCGGTAAAGCTGATTTTCTACAGTGGCGTATAGGGCAGAGTATCCAATTTTTAATCGTCGACTTGCACTGAAAGTGCATATTCTTTCTATCATTTGCCTGGTATAGAGTGCTGTTTGCACCATCACTTCAATAACGCATTTAATAATCTCCTGTATTACCTGTTGTCCCGTTGATCATCGAGTGACTCGAGCGAGCGCCAGTAAATCTTGCATTTTTCTTTGTCGCGCGCAAGAGTAGCCCAGTGGATTTGCCCTCTCTAGGGACCCGTTGATCATCATATCTTTCCTCTAGGGTTACATTAAGAACTTTAACCACCGGGTCTGTGGTTTTCCTGCAGTACATTTAACATCCCGAGGAATCCACTCACTAATGGCTGCTGTCCATCGGTTATCGTTCATACGCATTACATGTCTATCTTCGGCAGTTTACGTAAAGGAAGACTTCTCTCATTTTTGACGGTCGACCGAGGTCTGAGCTTCAGATGGTGAGAGATCTGTCACCCTGCAAAGATCAGGTTTTTGACGCATACGTTAAGGCAGGAAGAATTGTGGGGCCGAAAAGGTGGGCATGGGGTCGGGTGTTCTTTGTTCTCCTCATTACATCCTCGATAGTCTTTAAAGTTTAAAGCTTTGCAAACTGCTCGCTTCCTGCTGTTCAACTCAAGAGCTAAGCCGTTAATCATGTTGATTTTCCGACCTAGCTAGGCGTTACTGGAGCAATCGGAGATATTCATTCCGTTGAGCGTGAATGGAGCATACGTTATATAGGAGCGATTCCAAAGTCTGTAAAGGGTAAACCAGTTAACTGCTTGTGAACCGAGAATACTGGGAGGAGTAAACCTTCAGAATAAGATGAAGTGAACTGAAAACGTGCAGAAGGAGATTGGGAAGTGCGAAATGAGTCGGTCATATTTTTCGGCCAGTATGTGTGCAGTGAAAAGGATTTTTCAGATATTGGAATTGAGTTAAGCAACGGAGTGTTCGTGAACGCTGTGGATGCAGGCGGTGTGGCGTGTCGTCTCGGTGTTGAGCCAGGGCACCGCATCGTCCACGTGAACGACGTGCCCGTCTACGACGCCAAGCATGCCGAACAACTCATCAGATGTGAGTTTCGAGCACGTCGGGTGAACAACAATTCGAACAACCTTGATGATTTTTGACACAGTTGAGCTAAGTTGTTTGGTTTATAACCGTATAGAATACAGGGAGAAGGTCAGGTTGCATAGTTCCTTCATTTGCTGATGAATCTCAGAAAACATCTGCGGTTCACAACGTTTAGCATTGAGATGCTTCGCGACATCTGCGTTCTATTTGTAAATTGAGTGCGGTAGTGAATTGGAAGACACGTTAGAGTGCTTGTGGTCGCAGAGAAGTTTTTTGCCAACGTACCGATTTCGGAGAAACAAAAGCGCTTTTTCTGAGAACATTTATAAGACCATAGACGGCTTCTAGTTGAAGGCAATAAGCCTGCGTTGCTTGATAAATGGTGGTTTGCTATATTTGCATTCAGCGATCTTCCAGCAGGACATGCTTGAGACGTTTTGGTCTGCTATAGAGTAACAAACTTGTTAGCGAATTATCGTTAAGCACTGAGTTCTTAACTAGTCGATTTCGCAATGAAAACGGTGCATAGGATGCAACGCAGGTCGTTCACTTTGCTCATTCCACTCTTGTTTCAAATACCTTTGGCTAAGAAAAATAGAAATAGAAATAATAATAGAAATCGAAATTTAGATGGGAGCGGCCAAGTTGTCATAGGGATTTTGGATGGTAAGAGACGATCTAGCTCATATTCCAAGGAACAGCAGCCCTCTAAACAGAAGGTCACATTGTTTTCAAAGGTATCGTCTTCCTCTGTTCCTCTGAACAACCTTGATTTTCTTTTCATCAAATTTAACAGTCAACAAGCTGTTTAAATACATTATTCAATCTTCTGCAGCCAAAGTTTTTTAAACAACTTCTTATTAGGCAACAGATGGCTGCAGTTGGGAAGATTTTATGTATAATGGCTTGAATTACGGGCACTTCAGTTCTGTTCATAGCTGTGTGTGATTTTCATGGTATTTTTTTTCAAACCGATCGTAAATATACTTCACAGATCTTTGGGCGTCAATCAGGCGAGAAGCCGCGAGTGGTGGCCAAAGCCAATATCGGAAATGCCGTTGGTGAGCCAGCGTTTTTGCGACAAGGATCTCTTAGAGTTCCATCCCAACAGCATGTTTCTCCGCAGCTAGTCAGATACGGATCCCTCAGGTGAAGAAATCCTTTTTGATATCCTGCAAGCAGCGGTTATATTCGACGATATATCTGAAGTTAAACAGTGCTTTCCACAGAAAATCTGAGCAGAGTTACGATCAGCTACTTGATGCGACGAGACGACTATGGCAGCGCTTTTAACACATAACGGCCGGCGCGTTAACGTAGTTGCTTGCCTTGAGGAATTATTATTTTTTTTCAACAGTAAACGGCAATGTTAACCTTTTATTTTCTGCCTGCTAAAATTTTTCAAAACAAGGTATGATGTGAATTACAATCACAACGATGCTGAGGTATTCGCGAAACTTGGACCCCGGGCCAGATCGAATCAATATTTCCCTTTTGGGCACTCGCGCATTACACACTGGGCCACAGAGGTCCTTGCTCAGAGTTTCTCTC